TGCGGGTGTCTAATCAAGCTAATGGAATTTAAAATAAATTACTGATGGAAAATTGGTGTGCGGTGAGACAGATTCAATGAAAATTAAATGCACGACAATTTTTTTTTTGGTTTTATTTCTGTCTGTGGGTTTGAGGGTCACCTCAATTAGGTGACGAATTGCATGGGGGAGGGTATGTCCCTGTGAACTTGAGAAAAATGGGAGGGGAATTAATCCATTGAGCAAGTGGTTCTGAGTGAACGAGATCAGACGGCGCACGCGAATTTATCGTCGTAATTATCCCGAGATCTAAAGATTGGGAAAATAAAAAGCAAGAAACCAGTTCAGACGGTGAAAAACAAGTCTAAACGTCAAAATTACTAATTCATGACTCCATAAAATTATAATACAGATTTTCTCATTAAAAAATCTGGGACCTAGAATCTTTTAATTAAATAACATTAATAAATAATAATTAAAATAATTAAGTTGAATTATAATATTAAGGAAATTTAAAAACTTTCGATTTATTGATTGATTTTATTTATTTGAATTTTTATTGATTTTTACTTATTTTTTCCAAATTTTCAAAAAATTTCTGGAAAACTTTTCAGAATTTTTTTTATGAAACAAAAAAAATCGGAGAGCAAAACAATTTTATTTTTGGGAAAGGTTTTGAAAGATTTTTCAAAAATTTGAATAGGATTTTTTTTTATCATTTAGATGGCGTATTTTTTGAAAATATTGAAAAATCAAAAAAGTAAGAAAACAACAGAATAATTAAACAAAAAATTATATTCGCAAAAATTTCTAGAAAAAAGAAATTTCCGAAACAAATTATTTAAAAATTTTCCAAAACATTTCCCAAAAATACAATTGGTTGTTTCCCGATTTTTTTATTGAAAAAAAAAAATTTCTGAAAAATTTCCAGAAATTTTTTGAAAATAAAAAAAAAATATTTTGATTACAATTTTTTTTTACCCGATTATTCCTCAAAATTATTAAAATTTATAATGTAATATGACAATTTCCTGGGAAATAACATAAAATTTCCCATGAAATCAAAAATTTCATGATTCTTCTCATGTCCAAGGGAAAGTGGAAAAAAAAAATTAACCGTTCTGTTAAATTTTTCAGAACATCCAACTAGATAATTGGATTGGATTAATGATATAATTTCTCATGGGTTTGTTCGCGAGTGATAAAATTGATTGGTTTGTTCCGTCTATTATGAGGGATCGAAAATAATGAAATGTATGCACAAGCAATGCGGGGGAGATGTACAATAACCGTAACACCCTGTGTGCGTTATCTGTCTGGTTGTTCACCACTTGAACCCATATCACCTGGAGACCCGTTGGGTTCTTGAAAATAGGTGGCAGTGATGTCGCACCTTCTTGGTCGCGCAGGAGCAGAAACCCATGCCCGTCAGGACGAAAGCCCGAACGTCAGTCATACTTTAGTTGAGTTGAGGCCACTGTACCTGAAACGTGCAGTAATTAGTGCTGGAATTTTCCAAGTTCATTACCCAATCATCCAGCTGACAAGTAAGAGCATGGTCAGAGACGCCAGTCTCTGGTGATTTCAAAAAATTTTTTTATAGTTTTTCCATTCAATTATTATCATCCAAATTCCACTGAAATAGTAGATTTCTCATTCGGGAATTCAGGGGATGGAATTCCGGCACGAGAAATTTTTCATTCCCAGATAAAAATTATTAGCTTGTTAAAAAACAATCAGTGAAATTGATTTTATTAATTTTTCAAACTGTCTCCCGATAATCCACTAGATAAAGAATCACAGGTCTGATCACATAAAGTATTCACACGCACAGTAAATCTCTTAAAGATTCACCCGCACGGATAAATTATTGTTATCCATTAAAAATTACCGAACAATTCACGTAAAACGCAATGAAAAATCATCAACCCGTAATTACGCTGATTTTTTTTATTTTCATAGTATATTTTGATGGGAATAAATCGCGTCTGTCGAGTTCGGTAACCCCTTGATGGCTGGAACCGAATCAATCATTTCGATCTCATCCGATTAATAGGGAAAATAGGTTACGACTGGGAAATATTTTTTTACTCGATTGCGGATCATAAGGGATGGTTTATCGCATTATCAGTGTGTATAATTCACCATGTGCAATGCACGCTCAGCCCGACTGCCCCTGTGTTGATCGATAGCAACAGACAATCATCCAACATTCAGGTACATCGCTAGTTATTTGTCATCATTAAGGGTGAAGGGGTGGTTTACGGAAGCCCGTAAAATTCATCCGATATTTCCCTCGGCTAATTCAATTTAACTTGAATTATTGCGCACCCGGACAATCGACGCAATTCCCACTCTGATGAATATATATAAAAAACGGAATTCATTAATTTTCCCGGTATTTTTTAATGAAGAATTTATTTTCCGGGAAATCCCCGAAAAATAAAAAATATTGTGTCAAAATTAATTATTTGTATTTTCCGAGAAAAACGGAAATCTGGATTTTGATCGGAAAATTCTGTCATGATTTTTCAAGGGTGTTCTTCAAGTTTATTTTTTTTAGAAGAAAATTATGGCATCCGCGTAATTCGTAGGCATTTGTGACGGCAATATTTTTCGTTGTCGGTGATTTTCCGCGAAAATGGGTGAAACGTATTTTCTGTATTTATAGACAAATTGAGGTATTTGGAAATACCCTCATTATTCCAATGGCCCTTCGACATAATTTATGAATGCTCCCAGAATATTAGACTCGCATTATTCCATTTTATTTGAAGACTCATTGCGCCTGAACATGCGTGCCAACCGCGGTACCACGCACGGAATATTTCCCACCGATAAACCACATCTTGATGGTAATATTTTCCACCTCAGTAGCTGAATGAAGGGATTGTTTTTGCAATTTTATCTATTTATCAAATGCCAGGTCGATTTGGTATATTTTTAATGGAACAATGAGCCGATAAAATCGATGAAAGACCGGAAATCGGAAAAATATCGGAAAAATTCAGAGGAATAAAAGCAACAACCGCTGGAAAATAGAGAATATTAACTATCACGTGCGGCTGCGACGCACATGCACAGTATACGAGTTCATAGATATAAAAATTCGTCGAACGTGTTCCGTGTCGTATTCCGGATCAATACGATGAGGCAGACCACCTGAGAGTACATTCCTTCACCCCCAGGAATTCTGGAAGAAAAAAACACGAGTGAAGATTGTCGGGGTGACGCTCAAAGTCATGACCTTCCACTTTGTTTACCGCATTTGACCTAATCCGATCTGTTCTCATAAACCGGGGAATCCCCAGTCGGTGTGACCCCGCCGGATCCAAAATGAATCCATGACCGATCACCATTTAAGGATTCAATCCGGAATGGGGCGGAGTGGATAAATCACGAGAGCGATCGGTAATGTACAACTTTCCGATAGAGACTCGGGGGAAATGAGAGAGAGGAATTGAGGTTAGCTGACACGACCATGCATTCACCCCGGCAACTCCTTTGCATAAGTCCTGAGTCGATTGAGAGAATGAGGAAATAGTATTACGAATCATTACGATTCTCCCATTATAAAAATCGGGGATTTATCGCTCTCAAGCGATCGGCCGCCATCTTGACGTGCGCGGAGTCGTACGCCAATGGCGCATTTTCATCGAGCGACAGAGATATTTGAATTTATCTCACACCTAAATTCTGATGATATCCACAAGAATTAAGCGCCACCTGAATCAAATAAAAACGAAACCGTTTATTTTGGGATTGTGACTAGATTCTGACTCGTGGCACGTGCCCTCGTGAATAGTTCTCGAGATAAAATATTTTTACATGCATCAAAACTAATTCAACCGAAATTATTTACATCAATCACGAAACTTTGAGTAGACTACCATCGCGAGTGTTCCCATCAAGGCTAATGGGCAGGGAAAACGTAAACGATCTTTTGCACATTGTGTAATCGACGACTTCTAGTGCAGCCCTTCCATCGCGTGTCTTCATTCGTTTACCTACGTGCCTCCTACAGTCCCATCGACTAACACCGACCCCTGAAAATTCTGCCCCACAATCTCACTACTTCGGTTTAAAAAAAAAAATCCTTTATTCGACTTTTTATCATGCCTGCAACGATAGGGATTCTAGTTCATGTACAAGAGGCAATAAATGCTCATGAATACATCGAAATTGTCGATTGTGTGTTTCACCCTATTTTCCCGTCTCAAGAGCTGCACGAGAAATCGACCCCAAATCAAACATTTATCATTCAAAAACAATAAAAATATAAAAAAATTACAATCCCGCGAAATTATAGGATTAACAAATTTATGAAAAATCGGTATTTCCGTTGAACTGAAAGGAAGAAATTAAGAAATTGGTAGGAGCCGGATAGCTCAGTTGGGAGAGCACCCGATGCATAATCGGAAGGTCCCGGGTTCAAATCCCGGTCTGGACTGTCCATTTTTTCAGTAATGTTTCTTGTAAAAATTATATCGAGGATTATCCTGTTCCCATGTATTTATGTCTCTGTGTAATTGAAAATTGAATCTCACGAATGTCTTGAAAAGTCTCGAGAGTGTCACCCGGTTGAAGACCCAGATGACTGACAATTAAAAAACTTCATCATCACACCTAGTTATAACTGTTACGACAGCACAGCTCATAATTGGGACAATGTGAAAGCCTTCACACTTTGCAATGCATGTTTGAGAAGCCCGTGCTGCATTAGACAGGGGTCTGCGTGCATACAGCAAGTTTGCCCTCGTTGTCGTACGTCGTCTAAGCAACCGGCTATTGTTGTAGTTCAATTTCAGATAAAATCCCAAGTCAATGAAAATACCCCGACATCACCTCGCAACGATCATCAGATCTGTCTGCTTGTCGATCATCAGGTTGATGCAGCACGTAGTTAGTTGCTCAGCTATTGATGATTGTTCACGATAAATAACGCACGTAAGACCATCTAGATGGCACAGTCTGATAGTCTTTAATGATCTGTATCGAAGGACACTTGATGATTCCGTTAGCTCTCGTTACGACACTTTGGTCGGCAACAGGTTAACGGATGTGACTGGTTCAGCCCGAGATCGAGATACTCTAGGATTTATCATTTTGATGTAATGGATCAGATGCAGAGATCTGCTGAGGATTCTGGCGCGGCCAGAGGATCTGTGGTAAGACACCAACCGATCATTCAGGATAATTACGTCAGTCGGTATAAAAAAGTTGAACAAACCACTAGATTTATGTAACAATGTGCAGATTCCGTGATCGATACCTGGCGCTCGTCTGGTCCGTGTCAGGTACCGTTGAGACGTACTTTCGGGACATCACCGTTTTCCTATTATCGGTAGATCGATGAGCCAGACGAGTTAGCCTCGGGTAACTTGCCCTTACTATCTGCTGAATGTAATCGTTATTCCGGAAGTAGCAAATATTTGTGTTTTTATTTATCAAAGTTGAAATTTCTCATATGATTTATGTGATCATTCCGTAGCGGCAGTCTGTGTTTATGATTTTGTTATTATCGATATCGCCATCGCCTTTCCCTCTCTCCCACCACCCGGAAAAACCGCTGACTTCAAATCGTGGAAAGGCCAATATGAATTTTTCCAGCCAGAAAAACAAGCACCGATTTTATCGGGCTTGCAGCCACGACCGGGTCCTCCACCTCAGCGATATCCGATAAATAACGGTTCGGCTGGGCCGAGATTGGGGGGAGGTCAGCCACCACCTAGTTTACCACGTCTAGACAGTCGATCAACATTGGCAGCACCAAATCAGGGATTTCCGAGGGGATTTGGACCGCCCCGACCGCCGGGCGCACCACCTGGTCAATTTCCGAGGGGTCCACCACCTCAAGCGAATCAGGGCCCGATCAGATTTCCACCGGGTTCATCCTCTGGGCCGGTTCGGGGACCGTTTCCACCGGGTCAGCGACCGAATTTCAATAACAGTCAGATAAGACAGCAAAGACCGTCACTGGATCCTGGCGGTCAGCGATTTCCACCGCCTGGTGCCGGTTTTCCGTTCAATCCGGAACGCCTGCTGACGCCGAGGGTAATTCCAGAAGGAATTGTTGCAAGTCCTCAAGGCGCTGCTCCTGTTCCGACACCCAGGGAACCGCCTGACGCCAAATCCCCGGGTCAGCCTCAGTCCAAGTTCAGAATGGAAGCGAACGGACCGAATCTGGTGACCAATGACAAAGAGAATGAAGTGCCGACACCGAAAAAGAGACCGACGGGCGTTGCCGATGAGGATGATGATGACGACGTGGTGATGGACAACGAGAAGGAGGAGAAGGATGAGAAAGACGAGAAAGAGAAGGACGACAGGTCCCAGAAGTCCGCCAGCAATGAGTCCCTCGCGGTATCTGCGACGAAGAAGACTCCAAGTCCTGAACCGCGGACTCCAGTCAAGAACGAGATCAGCGTCAGCCCCAGTCCCGTCTCATCGAAAGCTCCGACACCGGCGCCTGACGACGACAGATCAAAATCCCGATTGAGTGACGCCGTCAGGTCAGAAGACGGCGATGATTCGAATGACAAGTCCCGACCGGTAAGCGCGTTGTCCTCCAGGTCCAGCATGAAGTCCCCGACGAAGTCCATCGGTCGAACTCTAGATCTGCCGTCACCTGGCGGTGGCAGATCTCCAGAGGTCAAGTCCCCGGTCGTTGGTTTCGATAATGGAAGACCGAGATCGCTGACCGCAAGGTCACCTTCGCCGGCCTCGACTCCTGGGATCTCTCATTCACCAAAAACCCCGGGGACCCCGAAATCCGAGAAGAGGGCGACATTCGCGGACGTGAGCGAAGGGAGCAGAACAGAGAGGTCGAGGCCAGGAACACCAGGAGTCAGAAGCAAACCTGGGACACCCCTGAAGAGCCCTAGCAGGTCGCAGACCCCGAAGGGCATGAGCCGGTCAACCTCCGGGCGATCTATCAAATCAGGTTTTCTGATGATTTAGAGATAAACAATTCATTTTTTTTTTTGCTGTAGAATAAAAGAACTTATTGCTCTTGTTTTCTGCTCACAATGATTTCTATTCAAGTGTTACTCCATCATTTTCCATTCTCTGACATTCATTCTTGTAATTAATTCTGATAATCGCAGATGGAGGAAGCGATAGCGGCGCAAACGCAACGACGCAGAATGGCTCTGTGAGTTTTGATTTAAGATTGTGATTTCCATAAAAAAGAAACAAAATAACAGAATGAGCTCATTTGTATTTATGAATTATTCGTAGCCAACGACAAACGGAGTATCTGTATCGCCGACGAAGAAGTTGCCAATAAAATCTAAGGATGGGGATAAGCCAAAAGTGGCAGGCTCACCGACAAAATCACCCAGCAAATCCGTTAAATCTCTGCCAAGAACCCCAGAAGCTGGCCCTCCATCAACTGCTGATAAAAAAAGTAAATAAATTTCATGATAGATCCTTTAATGTCTGTCTGCGATAACGTAATGTCATTGAACTGCACTTTGTGCTGCAGAAGTGCCCATGAACAAAGTTCAGGTTGGCGCTGCTCCATCGCCGAATTTAAAGACCGTTCGCTCCAAGATCGGTTCGTTGGACAACGCGAGCTACAAGCCAGGAGGTGGAAAAGTCAAGATTGAGAATAGAAAATTGGATTTCAGCAAGGCACAGCCAAAAATTGCAGCCAAGAACGACAAGTACATGCCCAGTGGAGGCGACAAGAAGGTGAGATATCTCAGAATATAGTGGATCTAGGGGAAAAAGTGATAAGAGTAAATTCGTTGAGCACTTGACGGGCTACAAAAAAGTTCTTTTGCGTCTTTAGGTAGAACCAATAGCTTTCGAGATATTTCGACGCCGACGATCTATCAATTTTCTCGAGTATCTTGTTTCGCTTGTTATTTTCTTTCGGTAATCGATTTTCAATTATCGTATTGATCTGGACTTTTGCATGCTTTCGATAGATACAACAAGTGAAACTCCAGTGGAATGCAAAACCCAAGGTCGGCTCCCTGGACAACGCAACCTACAGACCAGGTGGTGGTGATAAAAAAATCGAAACAGTCAAGCTCGATTTTAAGGACAAGGCAAAGCCCAAAGTTGGGTCTAAAGAGAACGCAAAACATGTGCCAGGTGGTGGTGCAGTCAAGGTAATGTATGCAGGTGGATGATAATCCTGATCCTGTGCGTCAGGATTCTTTTAATTCAATAGATCTTGAATTTTACGAATTAATAACGACTGCATCACGTGTTACCGATGTTTTTCAGCATGAAGACATTTGTCTGGTTGATATTTCCTAGTCCTTAGGTCGTTGAATATCTTGAAGAGTTTATCCCTTCTCTAGCTAGATAATTTTTGTTGAGTAAACATCAGATTTTTGTGCTCCTAAAATTTAATATCGTGACCATTAGCATGGGGAATGCTAATAAAAACTCTAGGAAAACACGTGAGAAACTTCTGATGGACGAATCCCGACGACTTTAATACCTAGCACAAAGCCACGATTCACACAAGCATGAACAGTAAATAACAATATCGTAATTATCATTTCCGGTACCCAGACATCACCGGCAAATAAGTCATCGGAGTCCCAGGGTGAAGTGAGTACATCTCCAAAACGTTTATATTAATTAAATATTCGATAATTATCTACTTTCACCCACGAAATTATCGAGTTCTATCACTTTGGCTTAAATTTCACGTATTAGTAAGTATAAAAAATCGAAAGCTTGAATCGCATGATCGCACGTTCGTCGTGACCTTTTGAGTACCTGAGCTAATTAATTTCTAATTAAAATTTTTCCCATTTCCTCTCCGAATTGAAAAACCCTCGACATGCGATCGAACAACTCTCATTCCCCAAAAATTCCAAACCCAAATCTATCTTTCTTAAAAAATACATCACGAACACCTGTCCGAGGAGATTAATTCCCTCTGTAATGCCCAAATGTCACGATAGATTGAGACGCAGAAGATCGACATCAAGGCGGAGAGTAAAATAGGATCTCTGGACAACGTGAAGCATAAACCAGGAGGTGGTGACAAGAAGATATTCAACGATCGCGATTACCTCCGCCAGACAAGTTCCAATTCCAACGTGGAAAGTGCCAACGGCAGTGGTGCCCAGGTACGAATGAAGGCCTGAGTTACAATCAAACGAATCCTGAGGACTGACGACAAAAAAAAA